AAGCCCCAGTAGATAGTTGTATGTCATAGTTGCACGTCCTTCTAGTTGCTGTATGTGGGACGCGGCCTCAGCATGGCCGGAGAAGTGGTGCATAGGTGCTCGCTTGGGATCCGAACCCGGGCCGCCAGCAGCAGCACGCACACACTTAACCGCTAAGCCACGGGGCAGGCCCATGCATTCCTTTTCAATCACGGAAGTAACAAATCACCACAAGCTTAGTGGCTCCACATAACACACATTTATTATCTCTCATTCTAGAGACCACACTCCCAACACAGGTCTCACTGGGCTAAAATCACGGCGTCAGCAGGGCTGCCTTCTTTTCTGGCGGCTCTAAGGGAAAATCCATTTCCTGCCTTTTCCAGTGTCTTGAGGCCACCTGCATTCCTTGGCTTCTGGCACCTTCCTCCATCTTCAAAGCCGGCAGTGTCCTCTCTCTGGCCGGCTTCCATTATCATCCCTCTGACTGACCACACTGATTATTCAGAGAAAGTGGGACTTTAGTGGGATCCCCATCTTTTTTTTTTTCCCCCAAAGCCCCAGTAGATAGTTGTATGTCATAGTTGCACATCCTTCTAGTTGCTGCATGTGGGACGCGGCCTCAGCATGGCCGGAGAAGCCGTGCGTCGGTACGCGCCAGGGATCCCACCCCGGGGCGGCCAGTAATGGAGTGCGCGCACTTAACTGCTAAGCCATGGGGCCGGCCCAGGGATCCCCATCTTATTCATGCCTAGGGACCCCATAATCAATCAGCCGTGCCAAAAATCCCTGCTGCCCATCCATGCCAAGTCACCCTGACCTGCTGTCCCTCATGGTCCCAACCCTCCTCCCATCCATGCCAAGCACTCCTCCTGGCCTCTGTCTCCCAGAACGGCACCATCCCAGTGCACCAGGGAGCCCCTTTCACAGGTAGCATCTCCACCTGTGTCCCTGGCATATTTCGGAGTGCCACACAGTCCTCAGGCCAGGTAGGGAGCAGGAGCAGGTGAGTGCCCGTGGACACTCGAGAAGGGTAGGACCAGGTTTGAGCGGGTCAGACTTGGTGTGAAGGTGGCAGGGGTGGGCAGTGCTGCTGGTGAAGGGGGAGCCTCAGTCTCTGGTGCCTGCAGGCCCAGAGGACTCCTCAGAGGAAGAGCTGACCTGTCGGTGGTGTTTGTCAAAACTCGGTGCCCGGGCCCTCCTCAGATCCCTGGAGTGGATCCTCCACGGAGGGCACGGCCCCAAGTTTCCAACCCCTTGACTGACATAAACAAAAGTGCTTCTTGTTTGCAAGGAGCGCCATGTGGCACATTGCCATCCAGGAGGGGCAACTTGAAGACGTTCGCAAGTTTATGCAAGAAGAGGCGGCTGCCGCCAGGCAGTGCCTCCAGGTGCAGGCAGCCGAGCAGCTCCGCAAGGAGAAGGAGGCCTTGAGGACGGCGGAGAGGAACCGGCTGCTGAGGGTCAGGTAGGCGGCCAGGCCTGCAGGTCCCAGGCCTTGCTATTTCCTCTGCTCTCCTTACCGCCGCTTCTCTGGAGCCAGCCAGCCAGGAGCCCCACTCCTGCCCCACACCCCGGGCCGGAGTCACTAATGCCTGCCTCTCTCTGCCCTTACGTCCACTTTTCCTCCCAGACCCCATCTACCCATCCTCCTGAGGCTCAGTCCCTGCACCTTCCCCAGGGGCGGCCCCTGTCAAGGAGTCTCCTGCTCAGCTGGGCTCTGGGGCAGGGCAGGGCCAGCGCCCCCAGGTGTGTCACAGGCCGTTGGACCCAGCACTCTCCCCACAGATGGGGCATCTCTTCTCCAGCCCTTGTACACGTGTCCTCCCCCTGCTCCCAATCCCCACCTTATCCAACCTACCACAGAAGTTTCTGCTGCTTCTGTGGGATCAAGTCCCTGGACAGCTGCAGGGTCCTCATGCCGTCCCTCCCCACCTGCTAGTCCTGATCCTGCCCTCGGTGCCAGCCTGCCCAGGATGGGTGCTAAGTAAACGAGCCCAGCTCTTCAGGACGCCTGTTCCCTGGGCGATCAGCAGGCGAGGCGCCTGTAGAGCAGATGCCCCACGTGTTCTGTTCCCGCTGCCCCGCGTCACTGCAGGAAGTCTATGTGCCTCCAGAAGGAGCACGGGCTCAGGCACCAGAAGCTGGTGGAAGACGCCCAGAGGAACCACAGGATCGCGGTGAAGTTCCTGAAGGCCTCCCTGGGAAGGTAGCATTTTCTCTCCCAGAATCTTTCCTCCTGTTGAACCTGGGAGGAGAAACCTAGAATGTGGATAATTTGCCTTTGTTTTGAAATTCTCTAGTTTTATTATTAAATCATCACCTTATCAAAAAAGAGGAAATGTATATTTTTAGTTTTGAGCTGATGGCCTGCTGATTTTCAGAAGACCGGCCATAGGTGCGATGAACCTCTAGTCTAGAGAAACATGTTTCAGTGTTTCCTTGCGATTTATGTTTGGCCACAACACTTTTTCATTTACCTTTAATATTCTCATGTTTAATTATCTCATTGGTGGCTGTGACCAACACCCAAGGCTCCTTCCACTCTGTAATTGCACATCAACATGACCCCAGTACCCCCCGGTTAAAAATGCACCTTCCTCCAGAATCCACGAGCGAGAGAGGAAGGAGGAGCTGGAGTCCCGCGAGCACATGAGGAGGCGCATGGACGCTGTGCTGGCCCTGAAGAACAACATCACTGCGAACCGGGTAGGCCCCCGGCTCGCGCCTCTGTCCCCGCCCCCTCCTGGTGGGCCAGCCTTGCCTCCCAACACCCTCAGGGCCCTAGGGCAAGCCTCTAGGAGCCCGTCCGGGCAGAGCAGCCATCGGGCAGGGCACCATCCTTGCAGGGCACCATCTAGGCAGGGCGTCCGTCCGGGCAGGGCACTATCCAGGCAGTAGTCTGCACCGCCCACCTACCCTGCTGTGCCCTCCCGAGCCCCTGCTCCTGGGGAAGCCAGCCCTGTGTCCTCAGACTCACCTCTCAGTGGCTGCCTCGGAATTTACTGAGCTTCTACCACAGATTTCTTGCCCACGGGTGTGTGCCGGCACTAGCCAGTCACCGGACTCAGGAAGGAAGAGAGCAGTCGACCCCATCCTCCTGGGCCTAGTCTTGTGATGACGAGGCTCCAGGGGAACCAGGGCTCAGTGAGGCCATGTGCCAGGGTCCAGGGTCTTCCTGGAGGAAGCAACATCCTGGCCCGAGGCCTGAGGGTGTGGCAGTTAGGCCAGGAAAGCAGAGAGGGAAGGAGGGGAACAGTGTCTGCAAAGGCTCGGAGGCAAGAGAGAGCATGCCTCTTGGAGGAAAGCCCAGCGTGGCCAGGAAACGGGAGGGAGCAGAGGGGAGAGGGCCAGTTGTGCAGAGCTCTGGAGACAGCCGGGGAGGCCCCGAGGATTTTGAGGAGCGGGGACAACAGGAGGGTGTGGGCCGGGTGAGTGGTAGTGATTTCTGCAAACGCCTACTTCGGGCTTCTCCAGGATGATTTAAAGACACCGATTCAACAGCAAGCTCCAGGGTGTGTGTGTGTGTGTGCACACGCCTGTGCAGGTGTGCACACACGTGCTAATGCTGTAAACTCTGTGTCTCCGTTCCCAAGGAAACGCTCCGGAAATTTCAAGCGCGGGGCCAGGCCAAGGCAGAGCTGGCTGAGCAGAAGGCCCAGGCTGAGAAGGAGACGATTCTGGCCCAAGGCGGGGACGCTTTCAAGCACCTTGTCCATCAACGCTGGCACCAGGAGCTGGAGGCCCAGAAACGGTGAGGGCGAGGGGGCAAGGGGGCACCCCAGGGGGGTGCCTGCTGGGTGGTGGGAGGGGGCATCCATCACAATTAGCGAAGCTTCTCTCTGTGCCCCAACCCCTGCGCCCAGGATGGACCTGTGGGTGCAGAAATGGGGGCTCCAGCCCTCCCTGCTCACTCTGTGGTCCAGACGCCGGCAGGCGGGGCCTCTCCTGGGCCTCAGCACAACCCCTTCCGCCCCCTGTGGCCCCTGGTACAGCCCCCCAGGTTCCAGACCTGGTTTTCAGGAGCTGCTCCCAGGCCCCGACACTGCTCACTCCTGTCTCTGGGCTCTGCTGGTCGCCTAGGGCCACCTCCCCCTCCTGAGGCCTGCAGGCTACCTGCTCTTCCCCAGTGTGGGGCTGTGCTCTCTGGTCTCTCCGAGACCTGTGCTCCGTGCTGCCTCCTCAGTGCACCCGTCACCCCCGCCGTTCACCCTGAGCCCCCCTCAGCCCCGCACGGTCCCCATGCACAGCTCCCCAGGCTGCGCCCACCCTGAGATGAGGGTCCCTACTGGGCCTCCTGCTCCCGGCGCCCAACGGGAGTGGGCTTCCTGAGATCCGCACATCAGGTTTCTGTCCCTGCCCACCTCTCCTGCCTCATTTCTCTGCTTTTCCAGCCTTGCACATGACGTTCTGGTAATTTCTGTGTTCTCTCAGTGCCTCATCCTGGAGGACCCGTCACTTCCCCACTCCCAGCCCCCATCCCTGATCATGGTCACTGTTAGGATCTGCCCAGGTGCAGCTCCTGGCCCTCTCGCTGGGGACACTGTCTCTCCTCTGGGAGTCGCGGTTTTGCCATCACCCCGCCCTGGTGGGGGCTCCCAGGGCAGCTCTGCCCACCTCCAAGTCCCTTGGTCTGGTACAGGCCTGGCATGGAGGAGGCATCAGCAAGGAGCAGCTTGAATGAATGAATGAATGAATGAGTGAATGACCTCCAGCCCTGATGCTGCCCTTGGTTTGTACCTCAGCTGGGGGCACCCCCAGCTGCCAGCCCGGAAACCAGAGCAGGGGGCAGCTCATGAGGGGTCAAGGTTTATTGTGGGGACTAGGCCGGGCTGGGCTGAAGGTTCAAGTCCAGGGTCTCTGCCTGGCAGCCGTTCTGAGCTCCGTCTGTCTGATCACATAGGAGCCTGGGGCTTACTCCAGGACTAGCTTGCCCCCACCCCTGAGCCTGGCTGGGGAAGGGGTACCAAGGACCGAGCTGGGGGCCGAGCTTCTGCCCAGCACACCATCTCTCCTAGGGTCCCCAGGGCAGCTGGCAGCTTGCTCTCAGCCTCTCAAGACAGCGTTTTCCCACAGCGCCTTTGAGGAGGAGCAGAAGCGCAGAGAGCAGGAGATGGTGAGTCGGATTCTGAAAGAGGAGGCTGAGGAGGAAGACAGGAGGAAGAAACAACACCCGCCCCCCAAGCCCGAGGGCCGCCCGACTCTGAGACACAAGACGTGGAGCTATCTGGCCGACTTCTGTGAAGGGAAGAACGCAGCAGTGACGCCCTGTCACCCACTGGTAAGCGAGACGCCCTCCAGTCAACAGTCACGCCCCTGCAGAGGAGCGGACAGACCTGCAGGGCCTGGCGCAGGTGTCGGGGACCGTGCTTTGAATCTCTGTATAAACCTCTCCAACTAAGATCAAAATGAAGAAGCTGTCCGTCCCACTGCCAGGCCGTCCCCTCTTCCTCGCTCTCGGCGTGTTCCTCTGCAAGGCCCGGTCGCCGTGGCACTCAGCCTCCGGGTTGGTGCAGCCTCGTGCCCTCATCAGGCACCCGGTGATGTTGCCCCAATGGCTCCCTCTGAGGGACACAGGGCAGCCTCACGGCTCCTCTCTGCAGCAGGTGGGGCGCAGGTCAGCCGGCGTCCACCTGGGAGCTGTCCTCTCCCGGGTGACGGCTCAGGTGCAAGGGTGGAGCTGCGGGAGCCACCCCTGGGGACACCCACAGCCCTGGGGTCCCCGTAAGGTTGGCTCAGGCCACCTCACCTGTCCCCAGCAAACAGCCAGGCCAAGACCGAGGGTCAGTCACGGGTGGGAGGAGCTGGGCACTATTCTCCCCCACTTGCGTGTCTTCCCGCGATGCCAGACACTCTTCATCACCCGCACACCTGCAGCTCTTCTCTCATCCATTCGTTCATTCGTTCATTCACACTGAGGGCGGGCTCTGTGCCAGTCCGTGTAGGTGACCTGTTTACCTGTCCCTGAGGGTGTGGGCTAGGGACGTCAGGACCCCTCCTGAGCCCCATGTAGCTCTTCTGCTTCTGCCCTCGTGTGCCCCAAAACCTGAAGGTCAAGGTCACTGCCTCCAATCAACGCAAAGTCCCCTCGGGCTTCCGCATGTTTGGCCTCTGTGGGGTCTTCACTCTGCTCCACGATGCATTCTAGGTCTTTTCCTGGTTCCCAGGCCCGCCGCGCCTGCCAGGGAGTCTGCCCGTCGTCCACCTCTCGTCCACTCCACCATGAGCTACTTGCCCCTCCCCTTCCTCCCCTCGTCCTGTCTCCCACGGCCTCTGATCCGCTGCCCACCCTTAAGTTAGTGGCCCTTGTATCTCTGCTTCCACACCGTCTGTTTCTCTGGGAGCCTTTCTCACAGTTGCAGCAACGTCACCTTCCATCTACGTCCTTATTTCTTGTCTGACGTCCCCTGGAGGGAGGCCCCGTCTGGCTGGCTCCCCACGGTGTCCCCACTCCTGGCACAGAGCCAGTTGCTCTGCATGAAGGAGCAGGCCAGTGAAGCCCAGTCCCAGAAGAGGTGTCCTCCAGGGTCACCCCCGGAGGGCTTTCCCAGGGGGTGACTTGTATCAGGGAAGGTTAGAAATGATGAGCAGCTAAGGGTCAGGGAAGAGGGTTCCAGCACATCCTTAAGTTGAAGCACTTTGTGGACTCCTTTGTGGGCATTGGAAAAAAATATTTAATGGTGTATACAGATACTTGTGTTATGTTTTATTTTATTTATTTATTTTTTAATTTTATGTATTTTATTTTTTCCCCCCAAAGCCCCGGTAGATAGTTGTATGTCATAGCTGCACATCCTTCCAGTCGCTGTATGTAGGACGTGGCCTCAGCATGGCCAGACAAGCGGTGTGTCGGTGCGCGCCCGGGATCTGAACCCAGGCCGCCAGCAGCGGAGCATGCGCACTTAACCGCTAAGCCACGGGGCCAGCCCATGTGTTATGTTTTAAATGGAAAAATTTACCAAACAATGTGTCCTCTAGTCTCTGAGGAAAGATAAAAAGAACCAAAGAACAGTGCCAGGATGTCAATGCTGCGTGCCCTGGGGGGTTCCGAGGATTCTTATTTTCCTCTTGCTGATCTGTATTTTCCCTATTTGCTAGAATTAGCTATAGTCTTCCTCTCCCTAACCGCAGGAGAACGACAATTTTGCATGCCCTGAAACCTCTGAGTTAGTGCAAGCCGTCTCCAGTGAGTCCGTCCAGGGGGACCCCGGGAACGTCAACTGGGAGGATGAAACGCTGGCTGAGCCAGAAATCTCTGGGCTGTGGAATGAAGACTATAAGCTGTCCCAGGTAACTGCCTTCGTACTTCTGGATCTCTCGCAGTTGGCCCCGGGCCATGTCTTCTCATCCGTCTCCATCTCTGTCCTCCCTGTCCTGGAGGCCTGCTCAGAGCCTGGCTTACGGCCCTCTGCAGCTTCCGCAGGCTGTGTCTGCAGCCTCCAGCCTCCCACACCTCCCACACTCACCACTGCCCGGCCGCCTCCCTCCTCCAAACCACACGCCTTTCTCCCCTCGCAGAGCCCCGTGGGAGCCAATGTGCACACCGCGATCCCAGACGTCCCCCCATTCTTGCAACAGCCGCAGGGCCTCGGTGGTCGGCCACACACAGAGGGACACAGCCAAGGGGCTGGCGGATTGGAGAAACAATTCCTAATTGCTCTGCTTACTATTAGGGAAACATATTTCTAGAAAAAGGCATGAGTTCAAACTTTCTTTGGCAGACTCTTTTCAAGAAACGTGCACGGTCTAGAGCACTGGTCGTCCTGATTCTGAAAGAGCAGACACAGCTCTGTGAGCCGAGCTGTTAGTGAGTGTCCGCTGCACCCAGCAGGAGAGCTGCCGCAGGCTGTGGCTCTGTCCGTGCATCGGCCAGCCAAGGCCAGGCGGCCACCTGGGAGGGCATCACCTGCCCTGGCCTGTGTCCACATTGGTTCCCGTTGCTGTAGGGACAAAGTCATTTGGTTCTGCTGGTTCTGGGGAAGCCTGGCTGACCAGGCCCTCCAACAAGAGAGAGGCAGGGCCAGAGCCCATCGCTCCCAACTCAGGACCCATCACCCTCGCTGCTCTACTCAGGCCTGGTCACTTACCCACAGGAAGGCAGTAGGTGCCTTGACAACAGGGCATCAGGCTGGCCTCCCACCCAGGAGAGTGAGGGCAGGAGTCCGCCCTGCTCACCTGGAGCCAAGGCCCCAAATGGACTCACATTCAGAAAGGAACACTTCAGGACTGCCTTCAGTCATAATGTCAGTCAGCGGGCACCTGTATTGGTGCCACTCGAGAAAATGCTGCTCCCTGTACAACTTTTAGAAAACTTTCTCTTGGCCTGATTTGAAATGTAGAAAATTCCCTGTCTGCCATGATTTCCCAGAGATCTGCCAGAATCCTGGACATTTCCGCTCTTCTCAGGTTTTCTTTCTCTGAAGTAAGGACTACCCGCCTTGCTAACATCAGGCTTTCTGAGTGACCCGCTGGGTGCCACGCTTTTCCCTTGGCGCTGGCCACTCTGGGCTCTGTGCTGTTAGCATCTGTCGCTCACAAGCTGCCGTTGGTGACCCTGAGCAGAGAGCATCTTGCACAGCCTGGGCTTGCTCTCGAGCTGGGCTGCTGTCCCTCTGAAACCCCAGGTGCCAAAAGAGGATGTGGAGCCGAAGCCCGTGGGCGGGACGAAGATGGACAAGGACATCCTGGCCCGCACCGTGGAGCGGCTGCGCAGGGGGGTGATCCACAAGCAGGTGGTGTCCGGGCGCGAGTTCAAAGGGCGCCCCTTCAATAGCAAACCCGAGCTCATCCACTTCAAGGTGAGCCCGCCGAGGGTCCGCCCACGTCCCAGAGGAAGAGGGACACTGTCCTCGCCTGGTGCTGAGGGTAGGGGATTCCATCTCTTTGGAAAGTCAGACACCAGCCCCAGGAGGGTACTGATCCTGGGGCCACAGCGAGCTGCGGGCATCCCAGGAAGGGAACATGTTGGGGCACTCACTGGCCAGGCCCCTTCTGATTGGCAGGTTCCAACTCACGTGCGGTGACCCCAGGGAGTCCAGCCCCAAAGGACCGATTTCAGGGGGTGCCAAGTGGGGTTGAGTGAGTGAGGAGGGGGGTGTTCATCAGTCACATCTACCGGACACTGCAGGAGAGAGGAGGCTGGGCTCCTGGGGTGTCACGCAATCCCGGGTCCATGAGGTGGAGGTGGGTGCCTGTGCTGTCGGAGCCTTTCCGGCCCAACTCCGACCGCTGGCGCCCAGGGTAGGGAGGGCCCCTACAAGACAGGCGCCCTGGCCCTGCTCTCCGTACGCCCCGTGGAGGGGCCCTTCGTAATTCGGGCAACCTTGGGAATTGTTCCCACTCTCCTAGGATGCTCGTCAGTTTGTCCGTTAGAGCCCTTCCTTTGCATCAGCCCACGCCCTCTTCCGGGCAAGCGCTCATAGCTGCAGCTTCCCTGTGACTCGCTCTGAAGTGGCCGCCAGAAAGCTTTGAGTAATAATTCTCTGGTTTTTCTAGGACTTTGATATTGGCAAAGCATACAAGAAAAAGATCACGTTGATCAATGCCACCTACACGATTAACTACTGCAAGCTGGTGGGTGTGGAGGAGCATCTCAGGGACTTCATCCACGTTGAGTAAGAGGACGCTCGGCTGGGCGGGGACAGTGTCCGTCACGGGTAGTTTCGGGTCCTGCATGCTCAGAATGTGGCCAGAGCTTTTACACTTGAACAGCACTTTGTCTGCACATAAATCTTCGTGGGGAGTTTGTCAAGGCGGCTGCTCTATCTCCCGGGCCGAAGTTGTCCGAGACCAGCCCAGGGTTCCCTGACATGTGGCTTGGCGGCCCACGTGGCCCTTCCCTATCATTGCGTTTTGATGTGGACGCTCTGGGTGAGATTTCCCGGGCAGTTGGTGAGCCTTTCCAGCGTGAAGGTTAAGGCTGTCTTCTGTTTTGGGGCTGCCTCCGAGAACTCCGTATTTCGCTTTTGCTCTGTCCCAGTTCCCAGTTTCCCTCCTCTAGGCCCTGCTGATGCAGCAGTCGGACCTCCCTTTACGTCTGTGAGTCTCTTTCTGGCCCCCTTTACTGCTTTCTTCTTTTCTATTTTATTTTTCCCTCCTTTTCTCATGGTGACCTTCATTGGGGCTTCTGCGATGTCTTTCTTTTTTTCCACCTTTTACCATTTTGTCTGCGTTTTTAAGAAAGTTTTTTCTCTTCCACCTCCTGATTCCTTCCAGCTTTTTGTTGATAGGTTTGGAGGCCCAAGATGGCTCTGAGGCTCCTAGTTGGAGAGTGCCTGCTTCTATTTTGTCGTGAGGAGCAGAGGAGGGTCCTCAGGCCCAGCCTCCGAGGGGCCATCCCGTCTCCCCACCAGTGCCCTCCTGGGGCTGCTCCAGGCTGGGGCTCCCGCGGTCTCTCCCAGTGACCCCTGCTCACCGAATGGGGCTCTGGCCAGCCTTCCCTGCGTAGGACATGTTGTTCTCTTCTGGGGGCTGATTGTAGGTCAGACACAGGGTCTTTGCTCCCTCTTCTCTCTTCCCTGCAGTTTTCCAGACTTCAGCTCTTGTGGAGGCTTGCGTGGAGAGACGTTGCTGGAAATTGGTGTTAATCACCAATTTATTCCATCTTCTAGTCAGGCTGACCGCACGGGGATTACTGGTGGTTTCCTTGTTCTTGTGGATCTGGGGGTTTCTGGAGGGTGTCTACAGGCCCAGGTTGGGGGGTCACCATGACACCGGCTTCCCTGATAGTCACTTTCTCTGGACGTGTCAAGGATACTCCTCTGTCTCTCGGTTTCTGTTGCTGCTGTCGAGAAGTCAGCCCTCGGCCTGTTCTTTGCAGGTTTTCTAGCTTAACGTCTGTTGTCTTGAGACATCCTTGTCTTCGGGGTCCTGCAATTCCACCACGACGTGTCTGGTGTGGACTGATTTTCTTAGACCTGCTTAGAACCGCTGTGCTTCCCGAATCTGAGGATTCCCATCTTTGAGCAACTGTGGACTTTTCTCAGCCCCTCACCCAGTCCCCTCGCTTTGTCCTTCTGTCACTTCTACCTGAAGCCTTTCTATTCCGTCCTCCCTGTCTCTTGACACCTATTTTGTATTTCCCATCTCGCCATCTCTCTGAGCAGTGTTCCGGGTATTTCCTCGGGTCTGTCACTCAGTCCCCCACTTTCTCTTGAGTTGTATCTAATCGGCTGTTGAAATTGCTTATTAAGTCTCTTATTTTGGTTGTCATATTTCTCGTTTCTAAATGTTGTAAGTTCTTTTTCAGATCAGCGAGTGTTTCTTGACAGTGTCTTGCTCTTCTCTCACATCTGTAATTCTCTGTTGATGTCTCTAGTCATTTCAATGTCTCGTTCCACACTTCTACCTCTGAGGTCATTGGAGGTTAGCCCTGTGCTTTGCTGCACTGGCTGCTGCCCATACTTTCAGACCTGGAACTCTGATCTGTTCACCAGTGGGACTCCACCCTCAGGGAGTCTGTGTAATCTGCACCAAAATGCTTTCCTCCCATGAGAGAGGTTTTGGATTTGCTTCTGCCCGTGCCGTGGGGACATTACCAGCCAGGGACAAAGTTTTATATTAAATTTTTAGCTTGTGTATTTCTGATCCAAACACATTAGGTTAAATCCAACCTTGTGAAAATAGACCTAGTGTTAGAAACTCTTTGGGGAGTTTCTTTCCCTCCCCCAGGATCCAGACTAAGACAGACTAGCTCCCTTCAAGTCTCCCTGTGAAGTTGGGGCTCTTTTTCTGGCTCTTTCGCTGAAAGTGGAGCTCAGTTTTAGCTCCTCCCCTGGCTCACACTGCCTCACATTGGTATTAAGACCCTAGATCCGTGGTTCCAGGCCTGGCATCTGTCCCCAGGGGGACCGTGGCTACTGCTCACCCCACGGCATCTATTCCCTGTGGAGCTGGCCCTTGGGGACCTGCCTCATTCGTTCCTTCCTTCCTTCCTTCCTTCATCCGTTCACTCTCTCAGCAGATATTCACACGTTCCGTGAGCGTCTCCTGTGGACGGGGTACTGGGAGGGGGCTCAGCGCCCAGGACAGGCGGGAGGGAGCATCCCTAAGGCCCAGCTCAGTGTCTGCTCCAGGCGCAGTCGATTCCCGCCCAACCATATCGTTTACGTGGGGCAGCAAGTGTCTGGCTTCTGCGTGTAGCTAATGGGGTGTGTACTGTGGACCATTGTGCCCGCAGCTTTGACCCCCCTGGGCCCATGTCAGCCGGGATGTCCTGCGAAGTGCTGGTCACCTTCAAGCCCATGGTGAGTGTCTCAGTTCCCAAACCACACAATGTGAAGAGCAGTCTTTCTCATTCCGGGGTGAGAGAGGGTGGGTGGGATCGGGGTCTCTGTAGAACGTCGTGATGGAGGAAGGCCGCACTGGCGTCTCAGCAGGGCCCCGTTGCTGTTTTATTTCCAAAACATATTCCTAAATGCTAGGCAGAATTACAAGGCGGATCTTCTGGGTCACTAGCCAGTGGGTGTGATCTACTTGTGCTCTTGGGTCTATATGGGGTGTGTTTATTGTTCTAACAGGCCTTGGCCAGTGGGAGACCCCTCCTAGACAGGTTCTGCAGACCCCTCCCTCTGGTGCAACACGAGCTTGGTGGGCGGCAGGCAGGCCTGGCCCAGGCTGTGGTTATATAAATGCAGTATGTGTCACTGGGTAAGTTACAAACGTGCATGGTGGTTGGGCTGTTTTATGTTTTAGATAAACAAAGATCTGGAAGGAAATGTCTCATTTCTGGCTCAGACGGGCGAATTTTCTGTTCCACTGAAGTGTTCAACAAAAAAATGTTCTGTAAGTTCAAAGCCACTTGAACCCACATTTCTTGGGACATCCTGGTTGGGAGCCCCAGTACAGGGAGTGTGCATCCCGGAGTGTGGGTGAGATGGGCTGAGATGGGCCCCACATCGGGAGTGTGCGTCCCCAAGTGTGGGTGAGATGGGCTGAGAGTGGGGCCCACATCGGGACTGTGTGTCCTGGAGTGTGGGTGAGATGAGCTGAGATGGGGCCCACATCGGGAGTGTGCATCCCTGAGTGTGGGTGAGATGGGCTGAGATGGGGCCCACATAGGGACTGTGTGTCCTGGAGTATGAGTGAGATGGGCTGAGATGGGGCCCACGTCGGGAGTGTGTGTCCTGGAGTGTGGGTGAGATGGGCTGAGATGGGGCCCATGTTGGGACTGAGCGTCCTGGAGTGTGGGTGAGATGGACTGCGCATGGTGCCCACGTCGGGTGTTTGCGTCCCAGAGTGTAGGTGAGTTGGGCTGAGACGGGGCCTCTGTCGGGAGTGTGCGTCCCAGAGTGTGGGTGAAATGGGCTGAGAGTGGGACCCATGTCTCCACTGTGGGGCTCTGTCCCAGTGCTAGCTCACGTTGGGCTCTAACCCAGGCCTTAGATGGGTAACGTGAATGTGGTGTTTTGAGAAGATGAGCACCTACATCAATGCTGGAAAAATTCCCACAAATCCTGGCCCTCAGGTCAGAGAAGACCTTGAGATTCTTCTCAGAAGACTTTGGTCCTCTCTACAGCTCTGTGGTGTCCACTGATTTTTTTTTAACTATGGTCATCATGCTGTACATTACATCTCCAGAACTTATTTATCTTATAACTGGAAGTTTGTACCTTTTGACCCCCTTCACCCATTTCTCTCACTCCCACTCCCCACCCCGGGCAACCACCAACCTGTTCTCTGTATCTGTGAGTTTCATTTTTTAGATTCCACATATAAGTGAGATCATACAGTATTTGTCTTTCTCTGTTTGACTTATCTCACTTAGCATAATGCCCTCAAAGTCCATCCATGTTGTTGTGAATGGCAGGATTTCCTTCTTTTTTATGAATGACTAATATTTCATTGTATGTATATACCACATTTTCTTTGTTCATTCATCTATCGATGGACACTTAGGTTGTTTTCATATCTTGGCTGCTGTGAATAATTCTTCAGTGAACATGGGAGTGCAGATATCTCTTCAAGATACTGATTCATTTCTTTTGGATATATACCCAGAAGGGGGATTGTTGGATCATATGGGAATTGTATTTTTAATTTTTTGAGGAACCTCCATATTGTTTTCCTTAGTGGCTGCACCAGTTCACATTCCCACTAACAGTGCACAAGGGTCCCCTTTTCTCCACATCCTTGCCGTCACTTGTTATCTCTTGTCTTTTGATGACAGATATTCTAACCGGTGTGAGGTGATGTCTCATTGTGGTTTTGATTTGCATTTCCCTGATGTTTAGTGATGTTGAGCGCCTTTTCATTCACCTGTTGGCCATTTGTACATCCTCTTTGGAAAAATGTCTGTTTAGGTCCTCTGCCCATTTTTTTTTTTTTTAAAGATTTTATTTATTCATTTTTTCCCCCCAAAGCCCCAGCAGATAGTTGTTATGTCATAGGTTCACATCCTTCTAGTTGCTGTACGTGGGACTCGGCCTCACGCTGGACAGAGAAGTGGTGCCCTGGGGCGCGCCCGGGATCCGAACCCGGGCCGCCAGCATCAGAGCGCGCGCACTTAACTGCCAAGCCACGGAGCCGGCCCTCTGCCCATTTTTAAATTGATTGTTTTTTTGCTATTGAGTTGTATGAGTTCTTTATATATTTTGGATATTAACCCCTTATCAGGTGTAGGGTTTCAAATATTCTCTCTCATTCAGTAGTTCGCCTTTTCGTTTTGCTAATGGTTTTCTTTGCTGTGCAGAATTGGTCCTTTTTTTAACTAAGAAAAATTTCAAACATAATGAAAAGCAGAAAGAATAGTACAATGGATATCCACATGCTGCTCCCGGGGTCCAGCCATTGTCAACATTTGCCGTATTTGCTTCATCTGTCTACCTCTCTATCTTTGCTGATCCACTTCAAAGTGAATGAGCAACATTGTAACACTCAGCACCCACCTCATAAAACTTCAGCATGCATCGCGAATAAACAAGGAAATTCTCCTACAGAAACCACCATATCGTTGCCTCTCCTGACTGAACTAGTCAGCCCTTACCACAACGATGCTGCATAACAAACGCCTCCTAAATTCAGCAGCTGATAACAGCAACAAGCATCTGTGTCATGGTGACAGGTGTGCAGGTCGGCTGTGGTTTGGCTGGTCCAGGCTGGGCTCGGCTGGGCACCTCTCTCCAGGCTGCAGGTGACCTGCAGGGGGGGCTCCTAGCCCCTAGGCAGCAGTTTCCCTGGCATGAGGATGACTTGAGCCCAGGAAACGAAGGCCAACCACACAAGCACGTTTCAGGCCTTCCCTCGTTTCACATCTCCTCCTTACAACTGGGCAAATCAAGTCACATGGCAATGCCTTCCATCAATGGGGCAGAGAGATGTGCCCCCCACTCTGGTGCCACACAGGAGAGCAAGGTGGAAGGAGGGAGTGGAGTAGTGGGGCAGTAGCCTGAGAGTCTGCACTAATAAGATGAACAATATTCAGAGTCATTGCCTTTATTCGGTCCACATTCAGATGTACCCAATTGTCCCCAAACCACCTTTTATAACTTATTTTTTGAGCGAGGATACAATCAAGATCACACATTGCATTTGATTATTAGGTTCTTAAGTCTTTCTTTTTTTTCAGGTTTTTATGGTGCTCAACACACATAGCATAGAATTGACCGTCTAACCATTTTTAAGTATACACTCCAGTGGTGTTAAATGCATTCACGTTGTTGTGCAGCCACCACCACCATCCGTCTCCAGAACTCTTTCCATCTCACAAAACAGAAACTCTGTCCCCATTAAGCACTAACTCCCCATCCCCCCCAGCCGCTGGCAACCTCCATCCTACTTTCTGTCCTATGATTTTGATGACTCTAAGTACCTTATATAAGTGGAATCATATGGTATTTGTCTTTTGTGACTGGCTCATTTCACCGAGCAGTGTCCTCAAGTCCCCTCCACGTCGTGGTGAGTGTCAGGGTTTCCTTCCATGTCGAGGCCGACTGGTGAGGAGGGCCTGGCCCCTGTCGTGCTGCTCACTGGGCACTGTGTGCCTTGTAGCTTCTTTGCCCCTCGCTTCCTGCATTCCTGTCCTCTTTTGTGTTTAGCTGATATTTTTTTAGGAAACATTTTAGTTCCTTCCTCATTTCCTTTTGTGTATGTTCTAAAGCTATTCTCTTTGTGGTTCCCATGGGGATGACATTTCACATCCTAAAGTTATAGTGCTCTCACTTGAATTTATGGCAGCCTGTCTTCAATAACATGCAAAAACCCCGCTCCTTACAGCTCCGACCCCCCCCCGCCGTTGTTGATAGCACAGTATTACATCTTTATAACTTGTGTGTCCAATAACATAAACTAGTCATTTTTAAAAATGCATTAGTCTCGGGGCCGGCCAAGTGGCACAAGCAGTTGAGTGCACGTGCTCCACTGTGGCGGCCTGGGGTTCGCCGGTTCGGATCCCGGGCGCGCACCAGTGCACCACTTGGCAAGCCATGCTGTGGCGGTGTCCCAGATACAAAATAGAGGAAGACTGGCACAGATGTTAGCTCAGGGACAATCTTCCTCAAGCAAAAAGAGGAAGATTGGCAACAGATGTTAGCTCAGGGCCAATCCTCCACACCAAGAAAAATAAATAAATAAAAATAAAAATAAAATAAAATAAATTTAAAAATGCATTAGTCTCTTAAGTTATGTAGAAAACAAAAAGTGCATCTACAAACCACTGTGACAGTAGTGCTGGCTTCTATAATTGCCAGTGTACGTACCTTCACTGAGATCTTTATTTCTCCTTTTGGCTTTGAGGTCCTGTCCCATGTCCTTTCTCCCACCCTGCAGGACTCCCTGAAGCGTTTCTCGCAGGGCAGGTCCAGTGGTTACATCTCCCTTAGCTTTTGTTTATCTGGGAATGTCTTCATTTCTCCCTCACTTTTGAAGGACAGTTTTGCCAGATATAGGATTCTTGGTTGACATTTTTTTTCTTTGAGCATTTTGAATATATCAGCCCACTGCCTGTGGCCTCCAAAGTTTCTGACGAGAAACCTGCAAAGAATCTATTTGAGGCTCCATGTACATGATGAATCTCTTTTCTCTTGCTTTCAAGGTTCTCTCTTCATCTTTGGCTTTCAACACTTTGCTTATAATGTGTCTCAGTGCAGGTGTCTTTGAGTCCCTCTCACTTGGAGTTCGTCAAACTCCTTAGATGTTGATATTCGTGTATTTCATCAAATGTGGGAAGTTTTGGGCCATATTATCTTCAAATATTCTCTTCTCCTTCTGAGACTCCCATGGTGCATGTGTTGGTTCACGTGATGGTGTCCCTTAGGCTCTGTTCTCTTTTCTTTGGTATTTTTTCTTTCTGTTCCTCAGACTCAGTGATTTCCATTGTCTTATCTTCAAGTTCACTGATTCTTTCTTCTCCCTGCTCAAATCTGCCTTTGATTCCCTTTAGTGAGTTTTTCACTTCAGTTATTGTACTTTTCAGCTCCGAAATTTATTTTTGGTTTCTTTTTAGGTTTTCTCTCTCTTTACTGATATTTCCATCTTGTTCATACATCACTTTCGTGACTTTCCCCACATCTTCCTTTGGTTCTTGCAGCATCTCTAACACGGTTGTCTTGAAGTCTTTATCTAGTGGATTTGCCCTCAGCTTGTTTCAGGAACAGTGTGATTTATTGTTTTCCATTGACTGAGCCGTGCTCTCTTGTTTCTTTGTACACTTTGTGATTTTTTGTGGAAAACTGGACATTTGATCTAGTAATATGGTAACTCTGGAATTCAGATTCTCCACTTCCCCGGGGTTTGTGTTTTTTTGTTATTGTTTATTGTTTTTTGATTGTTATAGGCTGTCTCTGTGC